AAAGAGAGAGATAATAATGCCAATACATTTTCAATTTTGTCTTGACAGGAAACAGTGATTAAAAAGTATCGATAACAAAAATAAATTTTATATGGAAAATTTAGGTATATGGGGGCGATTCTGAGAAGATTTGATACCAGTTTGGGCATGGCAGACTGGGTACCATGACTATACTAGAAAAGCTATGGTGGATTTAGGGGCCAGAACTACTAATTTTAAAGGTCTTGCTGTAACTGGTTATTTTTACTGTGATTATGTCACTAGTCAGTCTAAACACGTGAGTTGTTTTGTTCCATTTATATCACGATGTTTTAACGATACTGAACGCTTGGACATCATTCATGTATTAATATATATTGCGGTGGTAATTTGAAATAATTATCGTCATTTCTGGATATCAAATATTTTATATAAATTTAAAGGTGCTCGAATGGTCAATTTGGCTGTATATTAATGCATTTTTTATATTGTAGGGGAAAAACAAACACTTTGATAATTTATATATTTTGGCATATCAAATGACATTTTAACTTATCAGTTACTGTATATACCAGGATATTACGCAGTTATCTATGGCGGACATCCGGGATCTTTGCAAAAAAGATCTACCAAAAAGTATTGATGATTTCAACTACTACATGAACATGTCAAAGGTAAGTCAAGAGTACTTAGCTTGCAATTCTTCTGTGTCAATCCTTAACCAAGTCAATATGTTCTTTTATAAAAAAAAACAGCATGTAATGATTTCTTTTATTTTCTTCGTGGTGATTGTGTAGTCTATAATGTATAGGAAATGCGTATTTTGAAATTATAATTATCAACTTCACAAAGTTTAAACCTCCAACGTTTCGAGGGGATAAACCCCTCTTTATCAAGGAGTTTCTGTTTCTGATACAAAACATAGTGTAAGACAAGAAGGTAAAAATGTGATTTATAGCAATAACCAGAATCTCCTTGATAAAGAGGGGTTTATCCCCTCGAAACGTTGGAGGTTTAATCTTTGTGAAGTTGATAATTATTATTTACATGTTTCCAGAATGATTGTTTTTTGGAAGGGTTTCTATCATTGGTGCCATACTTTTTTCTTTGCTGTATTTTATTTGTCGATTGTAGCATTCTGGTCCTTGTCGTCACACCTTGGCACCTTGAACACTCCCATGAAATACAAAATGCAAGTGACAGTTTACATCTTTAACTATCTTGAAATGTTCAAATTACTCATATGTTCATTAGATAACCATGAAACATCAAGTTGTAGATCTAAAATATCAATCGCAATTGCTCATCTTTTTCTGCCATTCTTCAGATAAGGTCTTACATTAGTATGGTCAGAATACACAAAACCGATTTAACTGCTCTACAAAAATTAAACATTCAAAAAGGCTATAAGTATTTGCTCTTAAGATTGTTCAACTTTTTTATCGTGTTATAGTCAATTTATATCATGATAATTAAGATAGGTTAAAGTAAAACGCATTTCCTCTATGGCTATAATTATTTTTTTTCGCAAACAGACAGTTTAAATGACTTAGCTGTTGCAGATCTCAGATTTGACAAATCGTATATCAAGTAGCATTCTAGAATCGGTACTGATTGTTGAGCAACTTTTTATTAAATACACGTTTTTTTTCCGTTCGCATGTATACATCAAAGGTCACGGGCTAGAATCAACCTTTAATTGTTGTTGTTACCGATATGACTAACTGTAATCGGCGAGGTGTTCCGAATGATGAATTAAATCTCGACATATTGTTCCGAATGGATCATCTTCAAGACTAAAAATTACAACTTTACTCCATTGAAAATAGAACATCATGAGAAACGTGATATTCTTGGCTCCTGTCCTTGTTAACATAAGGTCTAGAGGATTTCGACCGTTCGTTAAATCAAATTTGTGTAAACCATGATTACATTTTCGTTAAATGAAGCTAGCATATGATATGCATATGATATATATTGGAAATTGTGGCGTTCATTGTATCTACTTTTCTACTCAATTTGTTATAATAATTCAAAAAAAGATAAGAAGGAGTTTCTTGTATTAATTTCTATAGGCAAACAATTTAAAGTTATTGATGTACGAAGGAGGGCCTCACTTAGAGAGTTCACGAAATAATAACGCCACTGACTATGCTATAGCTTTCAACAGACACGATCTGGCAGGGGACGCCACTCTAGATGTTCTTGAAGCTTGGTATGGTGTTGTGGTGTCAGACCAGTATAACAAACATCCGGGTATTTACATGTATTGTTTCTCTCATTTTGTACTTTATTCCAGATTTGTTTGCGATCATAATTAACATAATACTTTTGTATTACACATTCTTTTTTCATTGACCCTCCGGATAATAGCTTTTCTGACTATTTATTGATACTAATTTTGGAACTTTTCAGTGACTAGCTTTTTATTCAGCTAGCTAAGGGCACGCCGGTTGTTTTTAGTGCCTGATATAATGCACATAATGGCAACTCAAGTTTTCCTTCACAAGGAAAGCTAAACAGTCGCCATATCACCACTGTTGTGTTGGTGCGATGAAAATATTCAACCAACAAAAAATAGAAGATTGCATCGATAAGATAAAATGGCATCATGATAATCCAAGTGTATTTAGTGAGTAAAAGGGTGAAAGCTAATATAAGTCTATACTAAGCCATAAAAATCTTTCTTTTTCATAACTTACTTCGCGTGAACAATAAAAAAAGCTCACATAGCCCAAAGGAATTTCTGTATATATCCTACGGAATTTACCTGCAACATTATTTGATAGTCTTTATATACTTAAGGCAGATTTATATTTTATCGAAAACATTTTCCAGCATCAATTGTTGGTCAATCATCATTATAACAGTCAATCTTTTGAAATAAATAGTCAAATCAGCTTAACTTGACAATAAAAAACATGGGCATAATGTTACTTTAGATGCCATTTTAAAACGCATTAAACTATGCTAATGTTAGACTCTGTTAAACACATGTATAAAATACAGTTATTCCTTGCCAGAGTAGAACTTCGACTGGATTTAATTTCAACTTCGGAAGAAAACAAGCTTCGTCTGCAGATTTCTTGCATCTGTCAAGTGATCAAGATATGTTGCTAAACTCTTCGGTGCATGTGTTGTATTGTTTAACATGTATCATCCTAAGGTCCGCACAGTACATGTTGATAAATTCTCTATTAAGCGTCTAACAAGAACATTTTGTTTATATAAATAAAGACCTGTGCGGAAGAATAAGGCGGTATTTCCGTTGGGTACTTATCACTACAGTTTTCGTATACACAATATGACAAACTATTTATGTATGAAGTAATATTTGGAGTGTAGAAGGACAAAAGGTTGTTACAATATATGATAATTTTAATAATGTTTTAACTGTTTTACTTTACTGTTAACTATTGATGAAAACCTTAAATGACCATTTTATTTGCATTTAATCTTGCTATATATGAAGAGCATAGTTGCCTAACAAAAACATTTTGTTTGCATAATTGACGAACCTTTGTGAAAAAAATGTTGTTTTTTTTTCTGCCTGATACATCTAAATACAGCCTTTTAAACACATTTTTTGTGTGTCCAAGAACAAAGTATTAGAAGTTATTTGAATTAAGAATAATTAAACATGTTTCACTTATTAATGAAAAACTGAAATGTCAATTTAATTGCCATCAAGTGTTTAAGCTTTCTTGCTGCAAACCCTGCATTCATAAATCCAGGGGTATTATCTGAACTTACAAAAGAAGTGTAATAAAATTGATGAGACATAGTTGTTACGAGCCAGGCGTAACGAGAAAGAAAAGCCAGCAACAAACTTGTAACAATAACAAATTTATTACAGAAAAATTATTAAAGAAAAATAAAATAACAAATTATGTTTACAAATACCTGAAGTCCAAATAAAAATGAAAATTACAAATGTCTAGTCTGATCCTGGAATGATCCTTTTTGAATAGCACAGTTAAATCCAAGTTAAATCCAAGAACACTTTAGAATAAATTCCCACAATAAAATCCACAAGAATAATTTATTTTAAAATCCAAGCTCCAATAATTTACTTAATATCCAAGTTGAATAATACTCCAAAATATATTGATTTCTTAAAAGGTAACTGATGACTTAATAGATCACTGATGACTTAAAAGATAAGATTAATGAAAAATGTCTCCTTATATCATGTATATATATTAACTAAGAAGTTTCCAGAAAGGTCTATTATGTTCTCAAGTAATCATAATCTAGCAACTTCAACAATAAAGATCATTCCAGAAGTTTCTATCTAAATATAATGCATGAGTTTTCTACAACAGTTAAGAACCTTCTAGTACATACATGTAGTTTATGTTCTAAAAATAGAACAATGATAATATTGGAAATACCAACTGGTCAGATATAAATTATATACATGTAATATGTTGCATACATAACACTTCCCCTCTTCAAGAAAAAGAAATATGAATGAAATGAATATTTCTTTTACATAAATTCAAACAATGTAACTAACAAATAACATAGGAGAAATGTTAAACAATTTTATACATTCATATATATGTGTATTACAAACAATAGCAAACAACAACAAAAAAAAAATAACCAATAATATCATATAAATGCTATTACAAACAATAGCAAACAACAACAAAAAATAATCAATCATATCATATAAATGTTAAATTTAAAATACTGCAAATAACAGTTTTAGACACGTGAAAGTGCATCAGGGATCAAATTATCTTTCCCTTTAATGTGTCTAATGTCAAGACTATATTCTTGCAAAAATAAGCTCCACCTCAACAACCTTTGATTTTTGTTTTTAAGTTTATGCAAGAAAGTGAGGGGATTGTGATCACTAAAGACAACAACAGGCAACTTTGAAGAAGTTAGATAAACTTCAAAATGCTGAATAGCAAGAATAAGAGCAAGGCACTCTTTCTCTATAGTAGAGTATTTTTTCTGATGTTCATTAAACTTTTTAGAAAAGTAACAAACAGGATGGTCAACACCATTGTTGTCTTCTTGGATCAATACACTTCCAGCACCTATGTCACTAGCATCTACAGCTAACTTAAAGTTTTTATTAAAATCTGGTGCCAAGAGAACTGGTGCACTCTTAAGTATGGCTTTCAGGCTGTCAAATGCCATTTGACACTTGTCATTCCAAATGAATTTGTTTCTTTTCTTTAACAAATTTGTCAATGGTTCTGCAATAACCGAAAAATTATTACAAAATTTACGATAATACCCTGCCATACCAAGAAATCGCATCAGTTGTCTTTTACAAGTTGGCACAGGAAATTCAGAGATAGCTTTGACCTTAGCTTCTATTGGTTTTACTTTACCCTGTCCCACTACATGTCCTAAAAATGTTAAAATTGCATGACAAAATTCACTTTTTGCAAGATTAACAGTCAATTTAGCATCACTAAGTCGGTTGAAGAATGCTCTTATTGTTTTGAGATGTTCCTCCCATTCATCAGAATAGATGATTGCGTCATCAATGTATGCGTCACATCCGTGTAGACCAGATATTACCATGTTTATAAGTCTCTGAAATGTTGCTGGTGAGTTTTTCATACCAAATGGCATGACTTTATATTGATACAAGCCGTCTGGTGTTACAAAGGCTGATATTTCTTTAGCTCTATCAGTAAGTGGAACTTGCCAGAAGCCTTTTAGAAGATCGAACTTTGTTACATACTTTGCTTTTCCAATTTTGTCAATACAGTCATCAATTCTTGGTATAGGAAATGAATCAGTTTTTGTTACAGAGTTCACTTTACGATAATCTGTACACATTCTATATGTTCCATTTGATTTCGGTACAAGAATACATGGAGAGCTGTAACTGCTTTGACTTGGTTCAATAAAGTCATTATCCAATAAATACTGAACTTCTTGTCTTAGGTACTTTTGTTTTATAGGATTCGTTCTATATGGATGTTGTTTTATTGGTTCAGAGTTTTCAAGAATGACGTCATGATGTATTTTGTCAGTCCGTGTGGGAATATCAGGAAATAAGTGTTCATATTCATAAATAAGCTGTTTCAGTTCATCTCGTTTCGACGGTTCTAAGTGAGCAAGTTTTTCATCCAGATTTTTTCAGAATATCAGAGTTTTCAAGCCTCGCTGAACCAGGATCAGACTTTTCAAAATTTTCATAACTATTAGATTCAACTGAACATTGATTTTGTGGAACAGAGTTTACAAAAGATATAGGTTTACTAATTTCGCTATCTCTGTCAAAATATTCTTTTAACATATTTATGTGACACATTTGTTTTTGCTTTCGCCTCCCAGGAGTATTAATAATATAATTAAGGTCACTGACTTTCTTCTCAATAGTATAAGGACCAAAGTATCTTGCCTGTAATGGTTTTCCAGGTATAGGTAAAAGAGCAAGTACTCTATCACCAGGGTTAAAACTTCTTTCCTGAGCATTCTCATCATACCTTGATTTCATTTTGCTTTGTGTTGATTTTAAATTAACACTAGCTAACTCACATGCATTAGTCAACCTATTTCGAAACTCCGATACATACTGAAGCAAATTTAAAGATATGTCATCTTCAGACAGGAATTTCTCTTTTAGAAGTTTTAAGGGTCCTCTGACAGTGTGACCAAATACTAATTCAAAAGGGCTGAATCCAAGAGATTCCTGAACAGATTCTCTTACAGCAAATAACAATAAATGGATGCCTTCATCCCAGTCTTTTTCAGTGTCAAAACAATATGACCTAATCATATTTTTTAGAGTCTGGTGAAACCTTTTTAATGCACCTTGACTTTCAGGGTGATAGGCTGAAGACCTATATTGAGTAATTCCTAACTCGTGCATGACCTGCTGGAAAATACCAGACATAAAGTTTGACCCTTGATCAGACTGTACTGATTTAGGTAAACCAACAAAAGTGAAAAATTTCACAAGAGCCTTAATAAAAGTTTTGGCTTTAATATTCCTTAAAGGAATAGCTTCAGGGAAGCGCGTAGAAGCACACATAATAGTTAATAAGTACTGAGAACCTGATTTAGTTTTTGGTAATGGACCTACACAGTCAATAATAACTCTACTAAAAGGTTCATCAAATGCAGGAATATGCTGTAAATGAGCTTAAGGTATTGTCTGGTTAGGTTTTCCAACCATCTGACAAGTATGACAAGATTTACAGTACCTAGATACATCTACTTTAAGGCCAGGCCAATAAAAATGATTGAGAATTTTATGGTAGGTTTTATTAACACCTAAATGACCTGCCATGGGTGTTTCATGAGCCAAGCTTAATATTTCCTGGCGATATGATTTAGGGACCACAATTTGGTGATTAACTGTCCACTCCTCTTCAGCAGGGACATCGGGCGGTCGCCATTTTCTCATTAAAATCCCATTTTTTTCATAATAACAAACAGGGACTTGTAAAGCTTCATCTTCACTAAAAGCCTTTTGAAAAAGGACTGAAATCTCAGGATCATTTTGTTGTTCCAGGATAAGCTGTGACCTTGACAGCGTATCATGACCTTGATCTTTAGATCTTGGTGTAGAAAAATCAGATATTGAAAAATCTGTCTGAGTTTCAGGCAGAGTAGGAGTAAGAGAAAAATTCATTTCATTATCAAAAGACTGACCTATAAAAGTATCAGCTAAGTCAATATCTGAACAATAATTATCTTCTTGAATGGCCTTCTTAGCCATAGCTCGAGTAACTGCACATGAAGGGTAAAGGTCAGGAATTTCCTGCTCAATGGGGTCAGATATCTGATCCACACAAGGAGTGTCAGTTACAAGTGGATTAACCACTACCTTATCTCCAGCTAAGTCATTACCTAGCAATAAATGAACACCTTTAAAGGGTAAGAAAGATCTTATACCTACAGCCACCGGCCCAGTTACCAAATCTGAGGACAAATAAATATTATGGAGAGGGACATTAGAAAAACCACACTCTACACCCTGAATAAGGACACTAGATCCAGAAGAAGACTTCTCAGAAAAAGGCAGTGTATCTGCTAAAATAAGAGATTTCGAAGCTCCTGTGTCTCTTAAAATTTTAATAGGAGTAGGTGGGCAAGTATCACCGATAAGTGACACGGAACCTTCCGAAAGGAATGGTTCATAAATCTCCATTATAGAATCAGACTTGGGTTCTATGACCTTCAAAATTGCATTATTTTCAATACAAGACTGAGGTTCAGACCTTAAAGTGGTAAGACCTGTGGGTTTGGCCTCATCACGTTGTTGTTGCCTCCTTTTTAAGGTAAAGCAATCAGAAATAAGATGTCCAGTTTTCTTGCAATAATTGCATGTTGGACGAGATAAGGGACTATGACCTTTATGTTCATCAGATGACTTTGGTTTGGTGTATTTGACTGACTGGATGAGCCAGATAAATTACCAGAACTGCACTTGGAATTAAAATGTGAGGGTGTGGACTTCCCTTTATTTATAAATGAGACTTTGTGGGTTAAAGAATAATCGTCAGCTAGACGGGCAGCTTCTTCTAAAGTTTCTACCTGTTTTTCATCTAAGAAAGACTTAACATCAGAGTGAATACAGCGTTTAAACTCTTCAACCAACATGAGCTGTCTGAGCTTTTCATGATTTTTATTAATTTTCTTAGATAGACACCACCGATCAAACAGTTGTTCTTTTTCTCTTGCAAATTCGACATGGGTTTGACCAATTTCTTTCTTAGAATTTCTGAATTTTTGCCTGTAGGCCTCTGGTACTAACTCATAACCTTTCAGAATTAATTCTTTTACATTATCATAATTAGAGCTTTGTTCAACAGTAAGTTGTGTATAGATTTCACGAGCTTTGCCAGTTAAGACGCTCTGTAAAAGTAATGTCCAGTGCTCTCTTGGCCATTTTAAATTTTCAGCAACCTTTTCAAAATGAAGAAAATACTTATCAACTTCTTTTTCTTGGAAAGGTGGAACAAGCCTAATATTTTTAGTGACATCAAATTTTGAATTTATTCTATGTTCAAACTGATTTGCTCTCTCTTTGATTTCTAATTCTCTCATTTTTAACTGAAATTCTCTCTCTTCTCTTTCTTTTTCAAACTGCCTTTCCCTTTCTTTTTCTTCCCTTTCTTTTTCTAACAGTCTTTCTTCCCTTCTTTTTTCTAACTGCCTTTCTTCCCTTTCTTTTTCTAACTGTAACTGCCTTTCTTCCCTTTCTTTTTCTAATTGCATTTTTTCTAGTTCAAATTTAAATTGAAGTTCAAGCTCTTTTATCTTAATTTCTGGGTTTGTTTCAACAATCAGAGAAAGTGCATCTTGTCCAAAAATATCTTCATCCACAAAATAATGAATCAGAAGATTTTTAATTTCTTGTTTACGCATTGAAGATTTAATTTCTAATAAATTATACTTTTTTGCAAGATCGAGCAAATCAGTTTTCTTAGCCAAATCTAATACCTCCTGGGAAGGTTCAGCTACAAACTTTTCTAAATTAAAAGACATGACTGCTTGCTGCTGGTTTTAAACTCAGAAAGTGATGTGTTTCAAAAATTTCAAAATGAAAGGTACACTTAATAGAACAACTATGATATCAACTCAGATGAGTAAATACGGTAATAATAAAATGTAAAATAAACGGTAATAATTTCCAATAATGTAGCCAAAAAGAAATATTCAAATCCCGGACGAGCCCCCAATTTCTGTTACGAGCCAGGCGTAACGAGAAAGAAAAGCCAGCAACAAACTTGTAACAATAACAAATTTATTACAGAAAAATTATTAAAGAAAAATAAAATAACAAATTATGTTTACAAATACCTGAAGTCCAAATAAAAATGAAAATTACAAATGTCTAGTCTGATCCTGGAATGATCCTTTTTGAATAGCACAGTTAAATCCAAGTTAAATCCAAGAACACTTTAGAATAAATTCCCACAATAAAATCCACAAGAATAATTTATTTTAAAATCCAAGCTCCAATAATTCACTTAATATCCAAGTTGAATAATACTCCAAAATATATTGATTTCTTAAAAGGTAACTGATGACTTAATAGATCACTGATGACTTAAAAGATAAGATTAATGAAAAATGTCTCCTTATATATATTAACTAAGAAGTTTCCAGAAAGGTCTATTATGTTCTCAAGTAATCATAATCTAGCAACTTCAACAATAAAGATCATTCCAGAAGTTTCTATCTAAATATAATGCATGAGTTTTCTACAACAGTTAAGAACCTTCTAGTACATACATGTAGTTTATGTTCTAAAAATAGAACAATGATAATATTGGAAATACCAACTGGTCAGATATAAATTATATACATGTAATATGTTGCATACATAACATAGTTTATAATTTTTTCCAACAATATCAATTTACATTTGCAATGGTTCGATACTCTTGCCAACAACAATCTAAAGGAAAAGTTAACTACGTCTTTCATTTTACAGTGTCCTTTCTGCAGTTAACTTTTCGTTTATTTCATGACATCTTACATGACAGAAAGTAATTGTGCTTAAACTATTTTTTTTTTCAGGAGGTTTATTCAACTATTTTTCGTCTGTTTATTCTTATTCCAAATATGGTAGTTGGGGTGTGATAGAGTACACTGGTCAAGACCCACACACGTCTCCAAAATATCTCGCCCTTCACAGGTATACTCTGTGCTAGAATCTATTTATAGAAACCATGAATAATTGTGTGTAACACTGATAAAATGAACTGTAAAATGTGATCTACCATCATTTTAGCAGTGTCCGTGCAATTTTTTAAATACAGCACCTTTCTTATTATTTCATTTTATCATCAACATTAGAAACCATTTGGTTGTTCATACGCTTATTTGCATACTGTAATTCTATTTATATGTTACGAAGTGATGGCATAATTTAAAAAAAGTATTAGAGCTTAATATAAGTGGGGACATGTAGTAAAGTAGTACGCGGGATAAAAATATAGAAAAAGGTGGATCGAGGCCAGAGGCTGGAAGGATACTATAGTGCTACATGTATGCGTCCGGAGTACTGAATTCTTTGTTTTCTAATATATAGCACTTAAGTAGAACAAAATAGGAAGAACTTTACGGAAAGCGACACAAACTTTCAAGTAAAATGTTCAAGAAGTTTAATTGTTAGGTAATTGTAATTCAGTACATTCATTATGCGGACGTTTTTCTCTTGTTATTTCGAATTCTCTATCTCTTGAAGTTTCTTTGCTAATATTGCCTTGTAATATATAACACATTTGCAAACATTTCTGGGTTATATTTATGTTCAATTTGTAGATACATAAATCGCCACTTTAACAATCACAATATGGGACAAACCTGTAGTTTCGTTTCTCAGAACAACATAGTATATGGCTGTTATAAAAATAGGAACGGGCAATTTTATTGTGGTCAGTCAACAGACCACGGAACCAGCTGGAAGGTCATACAATCTTATTTACACATATTTGGTATAGGGCCCGTAAGTCTCGTTTACTTTCACTTTCGATTTACCACTTCCGGGTACATCGGCAGACTTATTTACCGTTACGCATATAGGTAACCCGAAGAATTCGAGGGATATAGAAGTTAAATTTGTTTCGGTCCTCTTCAGATTTGAAGGAATGGATAGCACGGGTCAAAAAATGCAGGTAGGTCAATTATCTGACGGAAAAACGAGGGATTTATAGAGTTTAATAAAACTAGTTTATTTTCGGATAGTGACAATTGTTTCGGATGTTTTGTCAATGTAGTGAATTTTAGTTGTTTAGCTTTTAGTATTGTTCTAAAACTACTGATGTGAGAAATTAATTCAAACCATTTTAACTTATTGAAATAAACAATGGAGAAACACTTTAATTCTAGTGTATATTAAAGTTATACAAAATTCGGACATTGCACAGTAATTCGGATATTTTTTCCTTTCCATATTTTATTCTTGTTCCTTTTTCAATTATATATACATGTTAATATGGTACCTAGCAAATAATGATTGAATTAAAAAATATAATATTTGATTAAACCATTTCAGATGTATAGACAAGGAGGTATATGACAAGTATAGAATATACAGTTGTTCAATATATATGGACCATTAATCAACTGTTTGCACTGCCTATGATCCTGAAATATCTATACATCAAAGGTAAATACATGTGAAATAATTGATTAATTTTTAGTTGAGATCGGAAAGATAAACAATTATCAAAATATATTATTATAATTTAATAACTTAAATTGGATTTCACTGCATGATAATTGATAAGTAAATAAAACATTAAAAATAGTCATGTTTCACATTCAAGAAGATCAATATTTTTGACTGTTATATATTATGTGTTGTTGTTTATCTTTAATGTTTATTTACTTCAAATGTGAATTTTTTCTGTCAATCATGACCAGCTTCTTAAATGTAATGTAAATATCATTTCTAGTGTCTTACACTTGTAACAACATATTTATTGATTTTTCATTCTGCAGATAAAAAGGGAAAAGATGAAGGAGGATTTGTCCATGAAGACCTTTATTGCAAATACCATCTTCCAGTTCCTTAATTTGAGAATGATATCAGAGAACACACAGTTACAGTGAAATATTAGTTTAATATAAGCCACTGAAAATAGTCAAATGTACTTTCCTGAAGAAGATGAATGACATCCAGCACAAAAATGTTAATGTATAAAGAGTATGATTTTATGGTGTTTGACACTATGATCTTGTTAACATGTTAATGTCACAATGATAGAAACAGAGTAAAATATCCACATTTCATTGCAGTTTTAAGTATTAAAACTAGATACTCTATATATACCAAAGCTGATAACACACCAGAGATAAGGTTTTTTCATGGAATCACAGTACAGTCATATGACATTATGGACATTAAATGACTATGAAGTAAAGATTAGCAAAAATATTATATATCATCTACTACTAATATTGTGAGGTAATCATTGATAAGCTCACAAATTTGCAATCAAAGCTTTGATATCAAGCTGAACATTTTTCAATTAGAATATGATTTATAACTCTAATTTTCAAAGTCTTTACATTTGTAAAAGGAAATATTCTTATTCTTGTATCAGTAGACATTCACAGTGTAAAGTTACATTGTCCAAATAACTAATAATAATTCCAAGTGCTTTCCTGAAGTTTTTCTTCCACTGGAAAATCAGTGATATATATGCTAAGCAGTGCACTATAAATTGTGTAAAAATAAAAGTTTATTAAACTTATGAACTGTTTTTTGTTTCTACTATTTGGCATATATTTATAGCAGTGCTTGATCATAAGAGTTCATCTGCAAAATAACTAACAGCAATGGCTAGATTGCTTGAATATGCAAGCATTGACTATATAAAATACTATGCATGTCATTTGAATTTTGTCTGTCCTGAAATCGAAACAGACACTATCTAAATAATATTGATGAAAAGTTCTTGACAGCTCTTCAATGACTACATACCCATATGTACATGGACAAAAGTTAAAAGCATTGTGTGTTGTTGTTTGTTTTTTTTGTTTTTTGAAACATTGACAATTTTGAAACAGTTCCAATTGGTATATTAATGTATCAGTGATGTAATTGTTTTGTATCAAGTGCAAACCCTAAGTTTTGCATGTATTGTATAGATAATTCACTGTTGGTCAAATGTCAACAGGTTCAATACATTATAAAACAGGTAATTTGAAACCCAAAGAAGTACATGGTATGTAATAATTACCCTTCTGATACTAAAATCTTCAAGGAATGCAGAATTGCAAGTCTTCTCCAATTAAGAGAGAGACTTGGGCTTACAAGGGCTAGCAAGCTAGTGTTTTGCTACAGAATACTCAACACAGATGAATTGCATTAATATTGTTTACTCTGGTATTACTACCTGCCATGTACAATGCAAATCATGGCTTTTCTAAGAGCAGTGAAAGGCTATAACTAGAAGGAATTTTACACATCTTGCCTCAGAAACAAGTTTTTCTTTGAGATGATTTTTATGATATTTAAATAATGGTTAAAGATTACATTACTTTTACAATTGCAGTGATCATGGTGATAATATGAAATGAAACTCAATCAAGAAAGAAACATTTAAATGCTGAACATTTATCTTTTTACCAATCCTGTTAATTTACAAGTCTATTTATAACAAATTTATCTTAAACTGTTTTGAAACTACATGATACCTGGTTGAAACTGTTTTGCGCAGCCATTTGCAGAAGATAAATTATCTTTGAATAATAAAGTTAATACAAAGTTACAAATGACAGGTTATTTATTTCTAATAAAGACAGGTTAGTTATTTCTAACAAAGACAGATATTTTGTTAAACATTTTTACAATGACATATATCTTTGAAGTGTCTTCAACCTTAGCTTTTATTAGAATACAAACATTCAGTCAGACAGTTTACACAAGAAATGGAGCTTTAAGAAGCTTTAAGTCAGTCAAAATCTGTAATGGACTGCCATGTCTCTACTTCTATGTACTCCAAGACTGTGTATGGACATTTCCTTTCAACTATGCCTGGTGGTATCACTATTTGATTTCTAATCTGATGGTGAACACTCCAAAATAAATCAAGAGCCATGACAGTTACTCAAGATCCAACCATGAAATCACATACCTGTATATAAAGAAAATTAATCATGAGTTGAAAGCAATAATAATTGGTCAGCTATAAATTTCAATCATTATCATATTGTCATGAATAGAAAATAATGTTGAAAAGGAAGAAACACTTCTTGGTGTCCTAGTTTTTGTAGATTTGCTTTGACAACTGATCTTTAAAAAATGTGATAGTGACTAAGTTCTTTTAACCATTTACTGAACATGATTTAACTAAAAAATATGACCCACTTACTTGAGAAAAATACTTTAAACAGTATTTAACATGAATTAACTACATATGCCATACTGTTTGTTTATTTAGCTACACTGTAAGTATTTACAAAAACGAGAACATTCCCTTATATGTTATATAATAATATTTATTTTTCATTAATGTAGTTTAAGTAGCTTTAAGTATATATTTCTTACCAAAACGATTTAACAGCAGAGCATGCATGTGTATTTACAATGGATACTGACGTCTTTCATCTCACCACTGTCCTCAGTCAAAATATCTACAGGAGCAAAATATTTCATTGAATTTTATGACAATTTAAATTGGTTATAATTATACAGCTTGACTATTTGTGCTTTATAAAGATAATAATTATAAATAAATAATATTTTCAGTTGGAAGAAAATATATTCAACTAAAACACACTGATAATCACCATGAAACGTTTATCCGAAATTTCTAAACATTATATACTTCTGAGAGATAATCATGTAGCGCTATAGAAAATTGATAAAATCAAATTCACCAGTCTAGTGTCAGATGCGAATGATGTTGTATCAAAAAACAAATTTATTAGATTTACATGGAAATGAAAATATTACAACATTTATTGGGATAAACTGAATTTGAAATGACACACCCACCTGAAGATTATACGAAGTTGTCTTTCATTGATACTTGTTCACAAGATGAAACCATTTGCATTTCGTTACAAAACAAAAAACTCTGGCAATTTCCACATATCATTTGCTTTTCCATGTAAGTTTTACTTTCCAACCGGCATACAAGTATTACCCAATATAGATAAGCAATGTTGTTGATATTTGTTTGTACCCGGAAGTGCAAAATATCGTGAAATCTCGCAAGTCACATGACGAGACTTACATACCCTATTTGTTTAGTTTAAAAGTATGAACATATCCGATAGTCTATTTGACAAAACAAATATTAGGAACAAATATGAATTATCATATAAAAAGATCTGACAGATGTCTTAACTTACTTGTAGAACCGAACATTATTAACATACCAACAAAGACATGACGAGTAAATTCAAACATAAATTATATCTTTAATTTTTACGTCGCGGCCGTGTGGTTAAGGTCGTTATTTGTATCCTACCACTGTTATTTCAAAACAAGCCAGATACTTTAGATTTTTTCATACGTTGAAAATATCCGGCTAGGAAATAGAGCACAGGGGTCATCGTTCATCGCAACCTGGAAAGTGGTAATATGACCTTAAAATCTAATCAAAGTCTATTATATTTTAAATAGAACTACCCCACACTCTCGACAAATACTAGTGCTCTTATCTTAGATGGATTTGACGTCATGACTGGTGTCATTTTTGTTCGAAATGTCGACGAAGTTGCCGCAAACATATTTTACAAATTGGACACCACAAAAATGCAAGTCCAGTGGGAAAGGTAACTATATATTGACATCCATTGGGTTTCTATTCAATTTGGATATTTTAGCAATACAAGTATGTTTAAATCTTATGGCACCTGTCCCTAATAAGACTGATTTACTCTGTTTTCACTCACGTTTAAGGTCAAACTTTGAACGTCGTACACAGGTGTAGGCGCATGACCGATATATTTCAAAAGTACCCAAGTCGACTAAACAAAAATAATACAATAGCCCTTGGAAATGTTTTGTACTTTCAATATGTGTGCTTACTACAAATCATAGATCCCAACCCTGTCAAATTCCAAGTAACAATTGTCATGTCTGTTTGATAAAAAATGTATTGATTTCTAAAATCACCTGTCCGTGCTCTGTCTTTGCCCTGTCCTGTTTTTGTTTGGGGTCCGCCTGGGCTCCTTGCCATTGGTTCTTGTTGCTGGGTCATATTGGGGTTGCGTTCATTGAACGCCACCTTTCGTTGTTGATCTTGTTTATCATATTTTGTGTAAATGTCGATTTCAATGTTGCTTTATACCGATTAAGTATGACCTATTTGTGAATATTTCAATGTCGATTTGTGTTGAAGTCAATCTCATTTTGTATTGTTTCCGCGTTAGTTTGAATTGATTTCATATTATTTGTTTGATTTTGATACCATTCGCGTATATTACCATGACGTTTTAGTAGACTTAACTGTCTTTCGATTTCCATGTTTCTTTGTTGTATTATTTTCGTTGTATCCCCTTTCCCTTATATTTTAGTCAAAACGTCTCGGACTACTACCGGCAAGTGTCGCCGTCAACAGTAAATCGTAAGATGACGAACGGTGTTTACCGTGGCGTTGATATAAGTAATTTTATCTGTTAATATACCTGTAAATTACTGACAATGAAATAAAATAAAAATATTCACATGTTTCTCTTCCTTGTATCGTATATTGCCCCATACAATGTCTCTGAGAATAAAATATGACATATATTCCATGAAACATAATTTTGACAGTAGTCCGGTTTGTATCGTCACTTTTTTTTATTTCGTCCTTACCCGCGATGCACAATAGTATGATGATGAACACACGATGGAACGATGGTAAAACGCGATGTTATATCGAGTTTTCGTCATCGTAATAACGCGATTTCACCTTCATACCATTGCATTTTCACCATCTTTATTATCTTTCAAAAACAGTTGTAAAATTTATTTTAAAGTTTACAGTTACATAGGTGATAAAATTGACCACTTTTTATTTTAATTGTTGTAAATGTTGATATCATCCTTTTTACCCCTTGTTTTCTTTAATCATTACGAGTTTATCTAAAATTACTATAATTAATATAAGTGTCAGTCGGATGAATGAATAAAAATATCTAACCTTTACATTCAAGAATATATTCATTTGTTTTTGTTTGTACAAAAAGATTCTAAATTTTGTATAGATCTACATTTTTCTTTGTTATTGAAGGCAATACTAAAAATTAGTATAGTTCTTACTGTGTCAACTTTGTATGTTACCTTCTATAAATAAAGATTTTATCATTATTACTATTATTGTTATTGTAGTTGTTGATGTTGTTGTACCATCGCATCATCGCGCCATCGTATTTTCAGTTTTTCAAGGCAATCACTCAAAAGTAATGAAAAGTAAAGTTATCATACTTGTGAACTGCACATATAAAATTTCAAGTTGAAAGCTAAAATGCTATCCAGAAGCATATGTAAACTTTCATGGCGTTTCTAGGCATCTTTGTCTTTACAGGATAAAAATGTTATATGATCTGTTCACAATTGTCATGAAAGAACAAAACTAAATTACATATTATAGACAGTGGCCATGTTGTACATATATAAACGGAGATACATAGAGTAGGTGTTGGAAGTTAATCCTCATGGCAAAACTATATTTCGAAGAATATTGGAAAAATGTAACGGCGATGCAACTATATACAAAGATAAATTGTTGGCGTTCGCGCCGAAGCGCGACGCCCTTTATGCAATGGAATTAAATTTTGTGAAAGAGCAATTGCAACTTCTCGGGCCTTTTCGTTAGTCATAAAAGCCTATCATTCCGATTGGTATGAGGGTGTTGGATTATCAAAAATGAAAGGTCGCGATACGTACAATTAATAGCGAACCGGAAAATTTTGCAATGCAAACATTTTCAAATGAAATCATCTTATCCGTCAATTAATCGCGCTGTTCGTTTTTTGTTTGTACTACACAGTGTTATTGTTGTACCTATAAATAGAATGACGGCCTTAACATTGTGAAAGTCCGAAAATCTATTTATAGAAGTTGTTTTAGTTTAAGGAAACGGTCATTCGTGTCGCGTTATGGTAATAAATAACAGACTGGAGAATTTTGCAGGAAATGAAATGCAAACATATTCAAACAATTAATTGCACTCTTTATAAATCTATAGAAAAAAATTAACTATGCCATTTATAAGAATTGTTATATCATTTTGAAATTGTGTTTTCTTTTGTGAGCGGAATGTTGATTTGCCGAATATTGTAACATTTTAACAACAGAACCTTTCGTCTGCAATTTTAACATGAGTTATTATGGGTTTTATTAATAGGAACGTAAACACACGGGTGGGTCAGACCAGGTTTTTGAAGTAATTCATTAAAATAGTAGATTGATCCCCCTCCAATAAACCAATTAACAGACTTAGTTCATTTTGACTACTATTTTGTATATTCCAACGAAAATACCACATAAACTTGAAATTCTATCAAATAACCAATGTTAATGATGATATCCAAAAATATTATCTATATAATATGAATAAACTTATTTCATATAAGCAGGGGTATATTTTGGATATAATAAACCTGTTTATTTTGGATATTATCGTTACTATTAATATAATTTCAAGTTCCTGTGAAAAAAAAACATTAAGCATGCCTACCAAAGTTCATGATGAACAATTTCTATCGGTTATATACAATGCTGGTAAAAACCAATTAACCATTGAAAAGTTTATAAGAATATCTGGTCATCAGATGTCTACAAGTTCATCTTCAATGTTGCATTAACTTGCTTGGACGCCCTTTGATGCTTTGCATCAATGCTTTTCTTGTTTATTACTGAAACATGGCGACGTCAACGCCATAGTCGCTTAGTAAAGTTTTTCTCTACTATCAGAGACACTGTGCCAAATCGTCATAGCTAGACATAGCCCAGCTATTTTGTTCACAAGTATTGTTTGGTATTCTTTCGATTTCCATCACAGATACATACCTTTCTCTATAACACCAACAGATTAAAAACGTTTATTACTTTTAAAGTTAATATTCACCGAATCATGTGTCAGTAAATTGTCAAGCTGCATTAAAATTGTTTCGAAAAAACGTAACTTGCGCATAAATCCGAATGAATTTCATTGCATAAAATCTATATGCATAAACCATACATAGCAGTTGTTAATTTATACATTGATCATAATATGCACTTATTGAAAATAATGATCAATGTTAAATTCCACTGTGAATTTTGTCCATTTAAGACAGAATTGCTTCACAACCCAACTTGTACCATAATATACAACAAACCAACATACTAACTGTTTATAGACATAAATGGCAGCGATATGTATTTATTATCTTATTATTATATTGTATCTTCTATCAAATGAAAAAGTTTGAAAAGTAAATTAATGCTTTCACTTTTACAAACAAATTCGCCGTTTGTTAACCTGTATCATTAGGAGCATGTACATTTTAGTTTTTACAAAAGAAATTTAGCGAAAAGTACACTGTGTAAAACAAATTATAATCTTATTTGCCTCTCATGTGCGACCTTTAAAACAAACATTCCGTCATTTCTATGTCATAGTTGTTCAAAAGATATTTCAGCGTACTTCATATCTGCATATTTTTAGAACAGAGAAACTTTAAACCAATTTAATGAAAGGAACACAAAACATGTTTTCTCATTACATGAAGTGTTATTTGTTAAATCGTTATCATTGTTTTTCTGTAACTTATACAGTATACAATAAGTTAATCTAGAATTACTAAACATGTATAATAACCTCAGATTTGATTATACTTTCTTATTGTAGTTCGATTGTGTAAGAAGCTATCAGCTTTTAAACACAGCACTGAACGATGCGTGGAAAGTTTCTTGCTCAATGAAAAAGCGGTTTGCCCCTTACGGAGTTTGAACCAACGCGGCTAACGGGGGCGTGAGGGATGTTGCACGTATTCATTATCCCTCATGTACAGACTCAATCAAACCGAGTCTGCAATTCTCTTGTAATTTTGTTATGATTAATGCTTCCGAGGGATCACATTGTTTCCAGATTTTTGAGATTACTTGCCATTCGGCTGTTCAGCTCAATGCGTCATATCAATGCCTTGTAATATCATTAAACAATAAAGAGAAAAATTTGCTTAAGGAAAATATAAATATTTATGATAAGAATGGATCAGGACCTTTTGATCCTAAGGCACATGCCATACAACTTGAAATAATATTCAGTAATGACAATACTTTATCTTAAGGAAAACATTGCTTATAGACTCAAATCTGTAATCTAAGTCATGCTTTATCAAGCTCGATGGCAAATTGGTTAATCATTTGAAATGAAAAGTTATAAATAATTGATAGCAATATTGTAATTACAAGATACAGAGCTGCGGGATCTCATTTAAGACAGAATTCATAATGTCTAGTTATGTGACATCTTCATTGCTTTTGTATGTGTATCAATACAATATTGTAGACATTTTCAAGTGACAGGGGTGTTTGATTATTTTCCAGAATGGCTATGTAGTATGCTAAACTTCCTGCTTAATTTCTTGTTAGTCGATTTGGATTTCATATAAAAAGATATTCAGTATACTGTAAATTTAAGAATACAAATATGTTCAGTGCGTTTATAATACTGACTGTTATCTACCATTAACAGTATGAACAATTTAACTCCATGATAAGCGGTCAATACAGATTTCCTTTGGTTTTTGTATTTTCTGATCGCAAGATCAGTAAATACAAAGCTAACATCCACGGTCTAACACAAAATTTCCTAACAGACCTAACAACGCAAAGTACTTCTCACTCAAAACTGTTTAAAAACCAGCAATTTAAAAGAAACAATAAGTTTTAATGTAGGCATTTAACGAATTACAGTGCATTAAAAGTTTAGATTAGTCAATAGAAATATGAGGTTACAATCACAAATTTCGCGGATGAATATCTTTTTCCCCAATGAAAAATGTCGGACTGTTTTGGCGAGAAGATTTTCGCTAAATTATTTTCATCAGTGTTAAACAACAGGTTTATCGTGAACAAAATACCTCGAAACTAATAAGGATTACAACACGAAATGGAAATTCTCAATTTAGAATTACAATATATTTGTTTTTATTCACGCTACATACGTATTTAATTACTTCACCGTGGTGCAGAGGTAGCGCGCTCGTTTAGGGTGTGAGAGGCCTAAGATTCAAATCCTAGTCGAGGCAACTTTTTTTTTTTTTGAAGTGTCTTTTTTAAGGAAGTAGCCACGATATGCAAGGATAAGGTGTGGCTGTCATAAAAAAATGAAAAATGATTTTTTGATGCAACTCTAGTCATGCAAAATTCCATATGTATCAATCTCAAACTGTTATAGTAAAAAATCTAAACGCAGTCGCTGCGTAAGATGAATTATAGTATATACAAATAAACTTGTACAGGAAAATACATACAGATAGTCAGTATGATTTAGATTGCAAAGATCAGAAAATACCACAGAGCTTGCAGCCCTTTGATTTTTTAGTTAACCATTTACATGCATTGACTCGTGACCCGTTCTTTGTAATATTTCTTTCTATCAAATAACATGCTGATATACACTTGTAAGGTGGTTCTTGCATTCTTTTTGCGTCATAGTGACAAGCGCTTGAAATTCATTGCATATTAG